ACTTTGAGGGAGGGAGACCCTTATCTGCCACCCTTTCCCAGTGCCCCTTTCCATTAGAGGTGAAGACTCTGCTCCTTTCTTCGCCAGGGGGATGGGTGTCAGAGTGAACCTCTCTAGTGTTTTTCTGTCTCTTACTTGCTCCTTCCTAGGAAAGAAGTAGATCATTTCACCAATTTATTTATCTATTCATATTCATTCAATATACTCATAAATTCAATTCGGATCCATTCATTGAACTCCAACTATTTGTCTAATAATTGCTGTTCAAGGTACTAGAGAGAAAATGGTGAATACTAATTGTTGACATGTTCCCAGGTTTCATGGAGCTTACATTTTTTTGTGAGGCACAAAGTATATAAACAAGAAAACAAGTGTATAAATAAGACAGTTTCAAAGCATGATTAAGTGCAATGAGGGAATAAACGGATGAGGTGAGAGAAGTAAGTGGTGGGAGGGCAGATTGGGTGGCCAGGAAAGTACTCTCTGAGAAGAGACATTTGAGCTGAGGCCCAACGGATGAGAGGGAGTCAGCTATGCAAAGTGCAGGAGGAACAGAGTTCTAAGCAGGGAGAACAGCAAGGATGAAAGCCCTGAGCTGGGAATAGGCCGTGTGTCCCCAAAACGATGTATGGAGCAGGAGAGTGGAATGAGATGAGGTTGGGGAATATAGGTAGAATCCAGACCACGCAGGGCTTATGGGCCCCAGTAAAGAGTTTGGATTTTGTTTGAAGTGTAATTGAAAAACACCTAATGGTTTTAAGCAGCACACCGACTAATGTGATTTAATGTATACCTTAAACAGATCACTTGTCTAAATGCTAAATGGAGGATGGATTGGATGGGGTAAGAGTGGAGGCAGAGAGAGGTTAGTCAGAAAGACATCGCCATAAACCATGGTGGTGGAACTAGGGTGGTGGCAGTGGAGTTGAGGAGAAAGGGCTGAAATCAAGATATAATTTGGATAGAGTCTAAGCTGATGTTGGGATTGAGGGAAAGGCATAAATAATGACTGACTCTTTGGCTTTTGACTTGAATACTTGAGTATATGGAGGTTATATTTAATGAGATAGGAAGATGAGATGGATAAATATATTAAGATACTATTTCAGGTCATAATACCACGGCATAAACAGAAGTTAAACAGGGGTAATATGGTATCTCCACGATATTTCAGACCCAGGCTCTTTTTATTTTGTAACTCTTTCTTTTTTTAATATGTGACTTCCATTTAGTGGCCTATGATGGCTGCTCCAGCTCCCACCTCTTCATGTAATTCCAGTCAGTGGGAAGAGGAGAAAAGAAAAGAGGAGGACATACTCCTTTTCTATCAAGGACGCCACCCATAATTTGCCGTTATCATATTTCCCTGGCCATGTCTAGCTGCAAGGAAGTCTGGGAAATGTAGTCATTAGCTACATGGAAAAAAATGGTGGAGTCAGTAGATTGGAGGTCTGGATAAGGTCAAAGAGTTATTACAACTGGACTTCTAGGGTAAAAGAGATGTATGGTTAGGAGGTTGTAGACAGAGGATGAGATTCTTGAATTGGAGATTTTGGAAGTCACTGTAGCAAAGTGTAGGCTTAAGTACACATGTCAAGGACTGAGAAGCCAGAGTGTTGGAAAGGTCATCTGTATGAGTGTTGAACATCATCAAGAATGATGACAGGGGTAAGTGAGGAGAGGAAGACCAGGAGCTGAGGTCATGAGTGAATGAGGGAGGGATACTGGGAGGAGAGGCAGCCTGTGCTCTGAACTTCAAAGAAGGGGAGCTTTCGAAATTGGAAAAAGGAGCAGTGGTGTAGAAACAGCAATGGGAAGCAAGGAGGACTCCTTTTCCCACCTTCTGGCTCTGATGCTAAGGGAAAAAGCAGCTTCCACTCAAAAGCCTTGTAGAGGCCATGGGATTCTTAGGAAATTCAAAAATGTCATTTAAGAATAGGAATAGAAAAAAACATTCAAAACGAGACATTGGTAATACCAAGGAGTTTGCTGATCATAGATCAAGAATTCTAGAGGGCACAATAAAAGGGCTTGGAAGAAAGAGGCTGGGCAGAGGAGTGGGTTGGATTAGCTGCATGGAGATGGGAGTCTGTTTAACAGAGTCCTGGAGGCTTTGGCTTGGCCCTGGTGATGATTGAGGGAAACAGAATAGATGTGACAGGAAGGACTTGGTTGCTCACCTTCCTCTAAGAGTGAGTGAGATGGGATATAGGCTTCAGTAACTAGCTGGATGGTCTGGGCACTCTGCTGACTGATACCTGTGGTACTAAGGGAGTATGGGTGGTGGCAGATCCAATGGGAGCAGGAGATGTGTGGTAGCATAGTGGCCCCTAAAGATGTCTATGTCTTAATTCTCAGAACCTGTGATTATGTTAAATTACCTGCAAAAAGGGAATAAGGTTGCAGATTGAATTAAGTTTGCTGATCAGCTGGCTTTAAAATAGAGAGACCATTCTAGCTTATCTGACTGGGTCCAATGTAATCTCAAGGGTCCTTAAATGTGGAAGAGGGATTCAGAAGAGGGATCCAGGTTGATGGCAAAGGGAGAAGAACTTGGTTGGCTGTTGTTTGCTTTAAAAATGGGAGAACGGGGCCATGAGCCAAGGAATGTAGGTGACCTCTAGAAGCTGGAAAGGACACAGATATGGATTCTCCCTTAGAGGCTCTGGAAAGGATTGTGGCCCTGCCGACACCTTGATTTTCAGCCTAGTGAGACTCATCTTGGACTTTTGAGTTCCAAGATTATAGGATAATATATTTATGTTGTTTTAAGCCAGTATGTTTGGGATATTTGGTAATAGAAAACGAATACAATACGAAGGGATTTCCTGTTCCGCGTGACTGCTCCCTCCTGCAGGGTGAGATGATATGGCAGTTGGAGAGATGGAGCGTTTACTGGACATGTTTCACCAGGGAGAGGAGATAATGCATTAACAGGAATTTAACAGACTAGCGCTGGTTCTTTCTCTGCTGTCCTCTCTGATGCGAACAGGGCTTCCTGCTGCCTCCTCTGCCAGGGGATGTGTGCTGTTTCCCTCTGTTTAGTGGCTCAGGCAGGGAGGAAGAAGAAGAGGCTCGTTTTGGACTTGAGTCTCGATTGCATTTTCCGGTCAGTTCGCTAGAGAGGTCAGAGTTCTCTGGCACTTATCTGGCCATTTATAAAACAGACACTTTGGTCTCCTTTTGCCCTCTGTTCCAGGGGTGCCTTCTCCATTGGCCAGATTCAGAGGGGTGGAGGGACGACATGCTGGTGGGCCTCTCTGGAGCCTTGACTGTAAAATCAAGGGCTCACCTAGGGTCACTCCAGTACCTTGGATTTTAATAGGCAAGGGCTTGGAAGGTAATTCTGACTTGCAGCTTGCTAGATGCAGTTGAAGCTGAAATGAAATTACCCCAATTCCACGTGGGTACAGCACACAAGAGTATTAAATGTTGCCTCCATATTTTTTGTGCTAGTCTTTAGTAAGTGATGCTAGGTCCCAGATCCTGACCGCCTACTTTGTTTTGAACTGCATTTAGGACAACAGAGAGAATGATGGAGGGAGGTTATTTATGGCTTGTCCACAGGCTCCTGGAATGATTTTCTACCACACAGTCTCAAGTTGGCTCTGGCTTGTACATTTATTAAGCCCTGGCCAGGGTTTTGGATTTCAGACGCCCACTCTGGGGTTAATCACAGAAGTGTGGTGGCTTTCATATACATGAAAAGGACCAGGAACTCTTATGTGGAGGAAATGATTTTTTGCAGGGAGAAATGTCAAGTTTCTAGACGTTGTGCTTGAGATATAGTAAAAGAGAAAGGAAATATTTTCACATCTAAGTGTTTTTAAGGACAGAACTAGAAAAGAGCAGAATGTTTGCTCATTTCTAGATCAGGGAGGATGAGTGGGGCATAGATTTAACAATGATGCAAAGTGAAGTGAGGCCGCTAGAGGGAGCATGGACCCAGGAAACTAGTGTAGACAGTGGCTTGCTTGGTGTGAAGGAAGAAAAGACTGGGAGATTTGGCAGCGAGTATTGTTAGATATTTAAGTATGAAAGAGGCAGTTATTTGGGGACTGGGGGAGGTATTGCCCACGCTGAGGGGACGTGCCCAGGGATCTGTGCTCAGGACCCTCCTTGTAGTTACTGAGAAGATGAAACATGCACTAAAGGGAACTGATGTTGGAAAGAAACAGATCCGGGTTAAATCGGGACTATTGGAAGCATTATTTTAAATTTCTAAATATCACAAGATGTCAGAAAGGTCTCCAGTGCCTCACTTTGAGAGAAGAGACAGCTGGCGGGCCCCCACCCTCTAATGGGAAACTCAAGGCCCAAATTAAACTTTCCGTGGGAGATGTCGATGAAAGAATGCCCAAACCTAGAGAAATATTTTATAAGCGTTTATTTGAGTCAGACATTTGAGGACATGCCCAGAAGCAAGTTGCCAATGGATTACGAAAATGGTCCGGAAGATGGCAGTTTTGTAGCTCATTCTTTACATTTAAAATCGAAAGAAGACGAAGGAAGGTTACTTGAAACCCACTGGTGACAGATTAAGGAGGTGGGCGAAAGCAAAGTGGGGACACTTCCAGGATTATATAACAAGCAAACTGGAGGAACATATATTTCTTTTACTTTGGTGGGTACAGGACAGTTAACATTGAACATTTACAGCAAATAGAGATAGTATGTGGACGACACCACACCAACAAAGAGTTTTGTGCTCTGTGCTCTGGTACTGGTGGTTGTGTATCCGACGAGGCTGGAAAGAAAATTACTCTGACATGCCAAAGGTATATTGTCCTAGATGTGTGAAAACACTGGACAGGGCTTGCTTAAGGTAAAGACTGATGTTTGCTAAGGAAGCTATAGGCCTGGAATGTGACCTGTCTGGTTAGGAATTTATGATCAGATTAGCCTGTGTGGTTATTTTTGGTCACTGAGCTCATCAGGCCTGCCAAGTGGTCACCCCTGAGCTTGTCAGTTTTCTTATATAGCCCTTTTTTTGTTCACAGAGATTTCTCCCGACTGAGGTTTAAGTTCACGTGTTGGGAACTCTGAGGAGCTGGCACAGACTGAGAGCATCCTGGCAAGGTGAAGTCAAGGTTTTCCCTGTTCTTTCAGATACCACTAAGTTTCTGCCACATTGTGTAGCTGGCATTAGCAACTTGACTCCGGCTGAGCTCAAGTGCTCTGTGTGTCAGCAAGAGACTGTCATCAAGAGTCTTGCTGTCACTTCTTGTGTTCCAGTGCTTTCTGCCCTGGTTAAGCAAGCCTAATCCTGGCCTCCTGTGCTGCTGTGAGCTGCCAGCTGGAAAGGACACGCACGAGGGGTGCAAATGAGACGGGCTCATCCCTCACTAGCAGCACCACTGAGAACCTCCTTGGGGAAGACTCACACGAGATAGCTGTGGCTGAGTGTCAGCCCTCCACGTCTTTCTCTTGTCCCTTAAATTCTCATCAAAGGTTTCTTTGCCTTGACCCCCTAAAAATTCCACAAAAAACATTCATTAGGTTCCAGGAACACAGTTGAGAGTATGCTTCTGTTTCTAAGTTTTGCTGGTGTAGAGCTGGGACTGCAGTATCCTGTGTCCTAGTTACCCTGATTTTGAAAAAGAGGGACCCACGAGCTACTTGGGGATGGATTATGTCAACTTTGGAGAGGCTGGAGGAACAGCTAACATTTCAGAGAGGAAAGGCCAGGATGTAGCCAGTCCCCTGCCTCTAGTCATAACAGCCTTGTCCCCTGACCCCAAGGAACACTCTCTATGCTCATGGCTGTTCGCCCTCCTCATCCTCAGGAGATTTGAGGTTTCACCACAATCCCTCTACTGTCCCACCTCAGAGGTCTGGAGATGCGGCTCCCAGGCCAGGGAGAGGATGGAGACACAGGTACCTAACCCCTACTCAACACTTGGGGAGCTGAAGTTATAGGGAGAGAGTGTGTACCCTCCCTTTCCCTTCCCACATACACCTTATTCTACCAAACAGCTGGAACAACAGAAAGAACACAGCCCATCCGGAGAGGTCACTGTTTTTTCAGGTGGGAAGGCCCAGCAGAGCCCTGGCAGCCAGCTGGGGGAAGTAGAGAACTGACCTTGTGGGAATGGATACGCTTTAGGAAGCGGGATGTCCAGGCAAATGGACATACCTAGATTTTTTTGGAGTGAGACCTCCTGGCTCAGAATGAGCAGAATAAAAAATTGGGAAGGGAAGAATTTTGGACTTTAATTTCCTTGCATATTAATTGCAAAGAAAGTGAGTTTAAATTTTGTTCTTGTTACTTTTGGAATTAGGAGGGGGTTTACGTTCAAATTTAGGGCATTTCTTGGTTGCTAGTGTGAATTATTTGACATTTTATGCTGCTAGGTAGTACTTATTTTGTAGCGTGTAGGTGAGCCGCGCTGAGCTGATTGGAGAGAGGAAACAGAGTTGAGGGCACAGTATAGGCTTGGAATTATTTGTGTCCTAATTGTACCCAGTTCGGAGGCCTTGGGGGCGACAGAAAACTGACCACCCACTGATTCCAGGAGAATATACAAAGAATAGTGGTGAGAACCGTTTATTTCATTTTCTTCATCTGAAAATGGTGATAACAATTTTTTTTTGTGTGTCTTTTGTAAGGATTAAATGAGTAAATATGTGTAAAGCATTTGGAAATCTATTTCCACATGTCCTATTTGGAAATGTATTTTGTATTTGCTACTGCCCTATAGTAGGAGCTATAAAAATCAGTGGGTTGTGTGATACGGCCACTTTCGTAGGTCATAAATGGCCAAATATCTGCAAAGGGGGAGACTGCTCTGACACATGGCTGGTCTCCTCCTCGCCAGCCCTTCAGTGCACCTGTGACTGATCACAGACTGTAAGCTAACCCTTTAAGACCAAAAGGGTGGAACAAAGAGAAGACTACTCTGCGTTGGGGCCTCTTCCTCTTAGATGTCTCCTCCCCACAAGTGGAGCAGGTTGGAGGGGATATTTTCCAGCCTACCTTTCCATTCCTTGCTTACTCTCCTCTGGGGAAAACGTAAATGATCTTATGGGTGAAAGCCTGACTGTGGCTTCTCCAGCCCTGTCTCTGTTCAGTCTGTGAATCAGGTGGAGAGAGAGTGGGGGATGGGGAGAGAGTAGAAGACCCATTCAGCCTGAGGTCTTCTATCCAGCTTTAACACAGAGCCCTGCATTTAGGTTTATAGCACATCTGTCTAGCCATTAGTAAGGTGGATAAATTGCTTTGATTTCCATTAGGTAATGAGTCTCATGTCATTTTCTATATTGGTCTGAACTGGAGGGTCAGATGGATGAGTCAGGGCTTTAAATCCCTAAGACACTTCAATTTTCCTAATCTAATCTTCTCAGGAGTCTCCCCTTCAATTTCTTTCTGAACTCCATAATGTTCCCCCATCTCCCCTCTGTCATTTTGTTAAGATTTTTTTTGCATTGCCTCAAGCAGTAGCTTGAGAAAGACCCATAATAGAACTTTCCATGTAGGTTGGTGGAGTTGTGAGTGTGTCCTTATACAGGAGGGGAGAGGTGCATAAGCTAGGGAAAGTGGGCAGGTGGCAACTTTGTAGAACGGGAGGAAGCAAAGGAAGGAAGGAGATTATTTTATCTGTTTCTAGCTCTGAACACACTTCCAGATTTTTCTGGCCCAGGACAGCGCCAGCTCTGCATTGCAGTAGGTCAGTCACTGTTGATCTTCCGAGCACATCTTTTTCTATGTCCTGGGGATAGAACAATAGAGATCAGAGGTGGAAAACTCAGTTTTCCACCTATGAGTCTTTACTCTCACACAGAACACTTCTGACACTTCTGGTCACCAGATGTGTGGGGTTTTCCTTCCGGCAAGCAATTCTGCAACACCGTATGTGTGTCCCACAATTTAACACAATTCTCACATTATCTACCTGGAGATAGTGTCAGATCACACAGGTTAAGGGATTGGTTCCACAAGACTGACTTACCCCCCACTTTAGATGCCAATCCCTAGTAGGTCCCCAGATTACTCATGACTTCTGATTTGTCGTCAAATCGGAGGTTCCCACTTTATTAGAGTGGCTCACAGAACTCAGGGAAACGCTTAAGTTTACCAGTTTATTAAAGGATACAATAAAGGATACAGATAAATAGCCAGGTGAAGAGATACCTAGGGTGAGGTGCGGGAGGGCTCCAAGAGCAGGAGCTTCTGTCTCTGTGGTATATGGATGCGTTTGCCAACCTGGAAGCTCTCTTAACCCCATACTGTTCGGATTTTATGTAGGCTTCCTCACATAGGCATGATCAGTTATTAACTCCATTTCCAGCCCCTCTCCCCTCTCTAGAGATGTGGGGGGCGGTGCTGAAAATTCCAATCTTTTATTCATGACCCCTATCCAGGAGCCATCCAGGAGCCCACCCAGAGTTTCCTCAATGGAACAAAAGATGCTCTTATCACTTAGGAAATTACAAGGGTTTTAGAAGCTCTTAGCCCGGAGGACCTGGGGTCAGAGACCAATGCATACATTTTCTATTATCTTATAGCTCCCTTCTTGCCATCCTATCTGCCCTTGAAGGCACAGATTTCCCTCCATTCGTAAGAGAGGAGATTTTTATTTTCTCAAGCTCTTCTTCCCCCATTGTGTCCCATATGCCTTTACAGGGGAGTCTGGCCAGGGATGAGGGGAGGTTGGCACATATTAGGTAGACGAGTCTGGCACATAGTACACACTTGGTGGATGTTTGTTCAGTGAATAATTGGAGTCATCTACCCTGAGGTGAAGCTGAGGTCATGGCAGATGCGGGCGTAGATGAAGAAAGATGGCACAGGGTGGGTGGGACTCTGGGAGCACAGAGTGCGCAGTCAGAAAATGTGCTGAGAAAGGGAACAGGAGCTTGGAGAAGCAGAAGAGCACAGCATCATGGAAGGTCCGTGGGAATAAAGTTTCTAGAAGGAGCAGTTGTGTCCAATTTTATAGAGAGACTGAAGGCAGTCAGGACTGGGAAATAGTCATGGGGTTTGTTGTCAGGAACTTTTGGGAGAGCAGTTGCAGCAGGCTGGTGTGTGAAGAGGCAGACTACAGGGGCATGAGGAGTGCATGGGAGTGAGGAAGCCTGGAGGCAACAGGCATCACCGAGACAGAGGGGCAGCGTGAGGAGGGCCAAGACTTGAACAGGTTTGTAAGCTGAGGAGGAGGAGGAGAGGTTTAAAAATCAAAGGGATGGGGTAACCAAGGAAGAATCCTGGCCCTTGTAGAGTGGGGGCCTCTGGCCTTCTTTTCTGGTCCAACATTCCCTCGGGACCTTAGCATTTCCCCCCGGGCCCAGGCCATGCAAGGGTGTGCCAGCCCCAGGCTCCATCTCCAGAATAACTGGGTGTGAGTTTCTCTCTTTTATGGTACTTCTTACCATGAAGAATTTTATTTTTATTTGTCATCATTTAATTAAAATTGATCTCTCTCGGGAGAATGGAACTTCCATGATGGCTGGGACTATATTTGTTTTGCTTGTCATTGTTTTTCCAGTACCTAGAAAGGTGCTGGCACATAGTAGAGGCTGGGAATATATTAGCAGTGTGAATGAATGTAAGAAGGGCAGGTGGTCCTCCAGGCTATAGATAAAGCTCCCTTTCAGCTCAGGAGTGAAGGCTCTGGGCAGTTAAAGAAGTCCAACTACATGCCAGGCACTGTCTTGAGTTTGTTTATATGGAGTATTTTATTTAATTCATGATGGTTATGCTGTATGTGTTATTTATGAAACCAACAAAGTGATGTTCACAGAGGTGAGGTTACTTGCACAACGTCACACATCTGGGTGGCTTTGAACCCAGGTTAGTCTAACTTAGAGTGGGCTAGATGGAGCAGTGGGATGCCCGAAGAGGCACCTGAGGAGAGAGGAGGTGGCGGGAGCATGGCTCGTTGGGCATGGGGGGGTGTCCCACTTAGAGTAAGGTCTCACCTGTAGACCACGGATAGCTCTGGGCTATGCCAGGGAAGGGAAGAGCTCGGGGGCTGGCAGTCATTCTCCAATTGCTTTAGTGCTGTTTTCTCCTTAAGCCAGAAGTGAAGTGAAGGAAGTATGGCTTGGGCTGCCTCCCACCTCCCCATTGTTCCTGATTT